CATATCCTGAAGAAAATTAGAATAAATTAATGATTTTAATAATCCTCAAAGTCTGGAGGGCAGTTTCTTGTTATTGGAAATGCTTCAGATCTTTAAAGCTCCTTTTGCCATCATTCCTGCAGAATCAATTGGCACCGTATCAGGGATGTTTTTGCCAATACGTCTGTGAAATATTAATATCGACTGATAGTCATCAGTTCACTCCTCCCCTGGTCTGTGCGTGCGTGTGAGTATATGCATATGTCGTCTGAGCTGAGGAATATTTCAACGGTCAAACTGAGGTTAAGCCCAAGTCGTCTCTCTCACATTAACCGTCGCTTGCTCTAATGTGAGAAAAAAGAAATCACACTTCTCCGGGCAGATAAGTCAATAGCCACCCAAAGAGGAAGAAGAAATCAAAAGACACATTGCCCCAGAGAGGATGGGAGGTCGTTTTGATGTCACTATCTGCACTCAGTTACTCGTGGCAAAGGCCCAGCGTGTGCACAGCTCTGCATTTCTCTGAAACAGATGCAGTCAGTTTTATAGATCCAAAGGAATCAACTGATGTTTCATTGTTCAGTCAGCACTGCTGTCATAGCTGGGCTTCACAAACAGCCGTCAGCCCCTTTCTATCCCGGCCTCACCCTCGATTTGATGATGATATCAAAATGAAGCAGAATCATAGCCTGTCTCTCCTGCTTGTATTCATTATTAGAGAGAAGATGAGAAAGAGGAGGAGAGGAGGAGGAGCGAGTGCGAGTAGCTCAGAAATCCTGATTCACGGCGACACTGTTGTGTCATCATGCCTGTATTTTTCGTTCCTTCCTTCTCAAACATACATCCTCCTTTCACCCACAAGCAACACAGGCACACATTTATTCTTGAAATCACACACATGCACACAGCCACGTAGGCCATGTACAGCACACAGACAAAGTTTGATTGGTGCACCGTGCAAAGCAGATTTGGGAGGCGATTAAGTCACAGAGATTGGAGTGCAAGAGAGCTCTGAGTGGGAAGGGAAGGGAGGGGAGGAGAGGGGAAGAGAGAAGGGGGAAGAATGGCTAACAGATGGCGTTGATGTGAGAAGAGGGCCGCAGGGTCTGAGTAGAAAGGTCGGAGGTCGCGTCAGTTTTCCTCAGGCTTAAACTGAAGAAAAGTGTCTTGTTTTCATAATAGCCTCAGTCGTTGGCTTTAATTAGCAGTTACTGCAGTGAAAACAATCATCATCCCCATGCCACCAATTTCTACTGTGATAAGTGAGGTAGAGAATAACCTCCAACAGGCTGTTTTTATTTGTTCTTTCACAATATGTAGTATATTTTTTACTGTTCAATGTGTAATTATACATTTCTGACATGTTTCCCTTTGTCTGTGCATTCTAGTGTCTGTAGCGAGGCCGTAGCATACTTCTTGGCTCTGAACTCGGAAAGCCACAGAGAGGCCTGGACCAACCTGCTGCTGCTCTTCCTCACCAAGGTGCTAAAGATCAGTGATGAAAGGGTAAGGAGCCGAAAACACTCGTGTTGTGTTGTTGTGGTGATAATTTACAGCTAATTCTGATATCCAAATAATAATATATGAGGTGTTTATTTCCTCTGTCTTCAGAGTGTATTTTTATATACTTCTACCATTGGTAAAAAAAAATAGACGCTATGTTCATTGTCATCCATTTTCAAAGCGTGTTGGTGGTTGTGTTTGCAACTTCTTCCAGCATACAAATTATTTTTAACTTCTTAAAAGTGTTTCTTTATTCTGTGTAGCATCAAGACATGGGTGTGTATTTCTTTGTCTTACACTCTCTCCCTGTCTCACCCCTCCTCCACCTTCAGTTCAAGGCTCACGCGTCCAGGTACTACCCTCTGCTGTGTGAGATCATGCAGTTCGACCTGATTCCCGAGCTCCGGGCCGTTCTACGAAAGTTCTACCTGCGCATCGGCCTCGTGTTTCACATTGCACAGCTGCCCGAGCCTGAACCGGACCCCAAGCCGGCACACGTTGAGCAGGGGGCAGACACAGAGGTGGGGGAGGAGGCTGGGGAGGAGGCCCAGTGATGGTGCACTACAAACAGCCTGGAACACAGAGCTCCACCGAGGCCCTCCACCTCAGATCTGCGGGACTCTGCACTGCAGCCCTGTGTCACTCCGCGTGGTTTATGACGAACACTTGACTTAAATGGCTGATTATCAATCGGCTATCTGCTACCACCCACCCGCACCCTTAACCCCATCACCACACACACACATACACACACACATACACGCCTATACACACAGACAGGCCTATACACACAGACAGAGTACTTGATATCCTGATGAAAACAGTCATTTCTTGTACAAGGTGTAGCGATGCATCCACTGGATAAAACTACTGATAAACAACTGACAGTTACTCTGATCTGCTCAGAAGGAATATATTTCAAAAAATGTGTGCTTCTTACTGTATATTTAAAACATAAAGAATGAATGGTTCCAACAACATGCAAAAAGACATATTTAGTAACTATGAAATGTGACATTTGTCACACATTGATAATAATGATCCTTCTGTGTGCACCGCAGATGGCTAACATTAGTATTGATAGCCTCTTGGATGAAACTAGTTGTACAGATCTGCCGCTATGTAATATAATCTTATAACACTAGATTTCATTTATTTTTGTTTATTTCTTTTTTCCTCTGGATTTGCTGCACTTGATCTCTTTTTTGAATGCACTGGAGATTTTACTTTTGTGATAATTTATTTGAGTGTACCATCTCCTGCAGATATAGAATGATTTGTAATTGAACAAGACCATGGAAAGTGAAGGGTTAAATTATTCCATTTTATATGTTCTTAGGTTTTTATCGGAGATTGATGATAACTGGGCTTCTGAAACTGGAAGATAAGAGAGTAACCTGATGCTAGCTGCTTTTGAGTCACTAGTCTGTTTTTATGTTTGAGTTTAGTTTTCACTCTTGTGTACAAAATCAAAAGTTAATAATATATTTAATGTTTTTTTTCTTTGGTTTGGGGGAAAGTTATATGTATAGAGAAAATGACAAATGTTAGCTGTGCTTTAAGTATGAATGGGATGCATTCCTGCTCATGGATGTAGAAAACAAAATGTATATGAAACAGCAATGTAAAGTTTTCTATGTTGCAAAAAAGATTATGTACAACTTTCTGTACAAATACATCATCTGGCATTCTAATCAGGTTCTAGGTCAATAAAGTTTTTGAACTTGGTTGATTTGAAATGCTGAATCACTGACTTCTAAATGATAGCTGTTTATTTTTCTCAATTAATGATGAGCCAGGACAACATTCAAATAATAACATTTTAATTATAAAATAAACTCTGGTATGACTTAAGAAGTAAAATAACTACATTAACACATACACTTGTCTGTTACATTTACAGATATGCACCTCACAAAACTTTCATGGGTTAAATCTAGGCCATTAATTCTGCATGGATAAAAAGTGCCAAAGTGAGTCTTAGTGTAAGATGGATCTTGTCTAAACTAAAAGACATTTGTATTTTTACATGCAGACTCTGGTCTCTAACAAGCTTTAGTGGAAAGTGATTCTAGCGTCACTCAGTGCCGGAGACACCAGCTAATGGAAGCTACGTGACGCGGTGTGTCAGCCAGGGTGGAGCATCCATCCTACTGTTTGGCGACGCCCTACAGCCTGAAGGTTTTACAGCGTCCGACGTGCCAGGCCGAAGCCATGGCTCTGTGGCAACAGTCTCCACGGAAACACGCCTCTCCAGGGCAGAGCGCAGAGACAAGACATCAACATCATCACCAGGCAGCCCCTCTGGAGAGAACAGAGGCTTATCTATCACACTTTCTTTAGGCAATCAGATATGAGAGGATGCTTAAAACCCAGCATACATTTTTTTTGTTTAAGCATAATCAGTTATGCAATTTTAGGTCAGAATTATAATTTTTGTAAAGCAATAGTTTACTTCTGTCTCATCTGTTGAAAACGTGGCAAAGCTTTAGAAACAGACAGAAGCACGTGGCAGAAATCTGTCAAAAAGCAAGGTAAGACTTGGTGAAATACCCTCCTTAAATATAAAGTTACATGCACTTTATATTACCTGTCAGTTTACAAGTGAACAATGTATAAGATGAGACTGTTGATGGCACCACTGCTCAAGTCTCATAAAACTCGGTTGCATGTGGCTTATTTAAATACTTCAGATGTAAATTGTTTTTTCTCACGTGATCTGCTGTGATCACCAGTGTGAGAGTCTCGTCTTGTGCTGCGGTGCTCGTTGTGGCCCCTGACTTTAGATTCAACGTTCAAACTAGTCACTGACTGCAAAGACTGAGCATCTGGCTGGATGTCGCGGTCCCTCTGATCCATGCACGCTGCCACCTCCTGCACAAAATAAGAAAAGATTGAGCCAAATTATTATCTGTTTAACTGTTGTAAAATCAGTAAACTAATGTGACTTCAGTAATAGAGTAGTGAAAGCATCAGAATGGGTGCCGCTCTGGTACTGTAGTGACTCAGATTGACTCGTTTTGCCCCGAAGCAAACAACAGAATCCATTTACTGATCAGCATACATCATAGTCATGTCTCCTCCTTGGGGCTGTCCTCTCCCGGTGCTCTGCTGATGGCTGAGGGGGTCTCTGCTGATGAACCCGCTCTTCACATGCATCACCACCGTAAAGATCTGACAAAGCCCAAAAGCCATTCGTCATTACACACACACACACACACACACACCTCTTCACAGCTGGACAGAGATTATGGACCTAAAAGTTTGTTCAGTTCAGATATGTGTAATAAGAAAACAATGAAAATCAGCAAAACTTTTTACTGGGAAAGGGCAGGAGGAAAGTCTTCAAAAGTCTCCCTTCCTGCACCAGGCTTTTTAACAATTTCTATATTGCCCCCATTCCCAATGGCTGGCACTGTGCTATCGCCACCCTGCAGCTGGCATACGAGCCTTGCACCCAGCACTGGCAGCAGCTGCAACACAGAGACGCAAGCTGGCATGCACCACAATTAGCCTGGCACAGAGACAAAGAGCTAAATTAGCCTGGCGCAGAAGCTGTTGTAGTGTGGTATTGTGAGGGTGTATGTAGCTGACCTCCCAAGCCATATCACCTTTATGGAAAATGTCTGGAGCCTTACAAAAGGAAAGTCCCAAAGCACTTTGTGTCCCCACTGATGTAAACACTTTCTTCATACTTGAAAGAAGAAGAAAAGAGGAACATGGGCAGTCTTTTCAAACAGACTATGTTTAGCCAGGCTTACCAATAAAAGAAGTCTCAGATGGCAATATGGAGCCTCCGTACCATCCAGGTTTGTTCCTCACAGAACGATAGCGGTGCAGATGCTGGTCCAAAAAGTCTGTAGTGAGACACAGCAATGAGTTAAAAGTGTGAGGAGAAATTAGTGTGTGTGTGTGTGTGCTCACTGACCAGGCTCTTCCTCTCTCTTCATAAGCCTGATTTTGCGCTGTTGTTCACGAAGAAGTGCCTGCTGTTGGATGTCCAGACTTTGTGCGTCAGTGGGAGGGTCGGGGTACACGTGACGGACCTCCTCACGAGATGCTGTGTCTGACGGATAAAGGTATTGTCCCATGAGGTATTGTCCCACATCTGTCCTACAGTAGCAATCAAGTTGCATTCTTTAATTGATGCAGAAATAACAGCTGCATTCGCACAGTAATATCGAATAACAGGAGGTAAGGTCAGGAGGCACAGACTAGAGGTAGAAATTAAAAGAGAAACCAACAATTTACATATTTGTTAGTCATTTCAAATTGCTCCCTTCATTGTTGTCTCCCTTTTCCTCCACTCTGAAACAGCAGCTTGGTGTGACTCAGCAGCTCCACAGCCTGTCTACATCTTCTCACTGTATCGTCTCAAGGTTTGACTGTACAGAATGCATCTGATGCAGCTTTAGGATTTAAGGTTGGCATAAATCCATGATTTACATGTGGAAGTTTGATAAGTGATTCGTGAATTCGTCACAAACAACAAACTAGCGTTTCTTTCCTGTTGTTGGTCTTACAAGCTGAAGCTCTGAGTATCTTTCAGACCCCTGCATTAACTTGGTCTGGGAACCCATCCAAAGCCATTTCCTTGGTCGCTTGCATTACATTCTCTGTTTATGCTGCCAAACTGATGGACGCCGCCCACAACCTCATGAGATTAAGGTTTCAGTGTGGCTAGAGGGGGACAGAGGACTGATGAGGCTCTGGAAAGTTTAAACCATCTGGCAATGCCCAGCTGGTTTAGGACCGCAGTGATCCTCCTCTCTTGTCCTTACATCAACACCATGACCAAGGCAATTATAGGAGGGTATTTCAATCGCTTTCTCCGAGTCGGTTCAGAGCACAGAAGCAGAGTAAGCAGTGTCCAGCTGGTTCCAGTTCAGAGGGATAAATTGATTTGTCATGAAAGGATGATGTTCAGTTCACCACTATTATTTGAGTGATAGAAGTAAGATGAAACAACAACAGTGTGTGAGTGCACTGCATTATCTCTTTTTGCAATCAAGGTCAGCTGAAAGGTTCACTGCTTGTGATACAGCAGTCCAGGGCACATTTGAGGCATACAGTGTTTTTTTCCTCTCACAGTAATTTAGGGGTGATCCAATTAGTAAGTGTCTGTCATTACCTCTGTATTTAAGTTGGTTGAACTCTCTGATATTTTGCATATTAACACGTGCAACATCAGAGGAAGGACCCCTGGTTGACTCCTGGACAGCTTGCTTATGTGCCGATTCAAAGGCATCCACTCTGGGTCGTCCTCTGGGCCTGAGCAAAGGAGAAAAACCACACTTAAAACAGGGCAGTTACAATTACCTCAAATAACACACAGATGCCTTCCTGAAAATGTCCTAGTAGTTCACTGTCCTAAATGTTTTCCAGTTGTGCACAAAGACTACAGCAAGCAGTTCCACTTGATACAGTGGCCCCCATAAGTTAGGTTGGATTCAAAATGAGTTAAATGAGTATTTAACAGTAAGGACATAACACCTGGTTTGTGTGTGTTAAACACTTCCAAATGTTTTTATGAGGCCTAAAGAGTGGGGCTTTCTGTGTAAGCAGCTTACATTGGAACCAAAGAAAAGCAGTGGAACTGACACCAGTTCAAAGGCATTTCTCTGATGATTTGCTGCAAAATTATTTGAATATAAGCAGAGACTTTACAAATAGTTTGTAGTACATTCCTGTCCTTTTGGGGCAGTGGGACATACTATGTTCACATGTTTTTTAGGGTGGTTAGAGCAGTGAAGACAGATGAAAAGAAGTCCCCTTTTGGGGATCATACTTTTACATTACTGCAGTAATGAGTCCCCGAAAAAAATCTAAATGGAGATTAGAAGATAGCCAATTTGACCTGGGTGACTTTCATTAGCTCGGAGCACAAGAAAGCCTCCTTAAATACGAAAAGCAAATCAAAATTGCCATTTAACAAGACAGAATTAATATTGTGTCTTCACCTTAAATGCGTCTGGGGGTGCATTAGGTAAAATTGGACCTGAAGGGGTAGAGCGCATCTAATAGGTTCTCTAAATTCTTTTAGCCAGGAAGATGATACAATCCTATTAATTCTGGGCACGTTATACCTATGCTAATTACCCCTGCTGTTCAGGGGTGTCTCACTGTAATACCTGCTGGGGGGAGTGTAGAGACTCTCCTGTCGATCTGTCTGGCCCAGCTGAACCTCCAGTTCTCTCTGCTCTTTCCTCAGGTACCTACGGAGGGCTGACAGCTCTCTGATCACTTCCTGCTGATTATCTAAGGCACACAGAGAGTGTGAGGGGAGACAGAGTCAAGTATAGGAACAATAAATGTGTATGGGGCAATTTACGATTTACAAACAGCCATACATTTGATTTTGGTAGGTGGGGTACAGATAACTCCAGACAAAGTCTTACTTGGTTGCTGGGGTATTTCCGCAGGGACAGGTCGGTAGTGTGGTGCTGACACAGAGCGCTCCTGTTGGAAATAGTTGGCATTTTTCCTGTTACTATTCTGGATTTACATCAAAACAACCTTGATGTGAAAATATTTGCATACGTTTACTACACGTACAGTCCTGCAGGAGAGTTGGCTCACAGCAGAGGAAGGTCTGGATACCAAAAGACTTGTCTGCTTCCTCTGAAAGGTTGGGATTGGAGGAGATGGCTCTCTCTGCAGATTTACAAGCAGACTCACATTACTTGACAAGGATGTTAAATAAAACTGACAGCTACAGTACCAATGACTTTTCAGGCTTATCGTACCTCATAAGTCAACTGCTCCTTTTTCTTCTCTCTGTCCCTGGCACTCTCAGTCACCTTCTTCTCAATTTCTTGTTCCTGCTTCACCTTCTTTTCCTCCTCCTGGTGTTTCGTTTTAGGTTCATGGATCCAACTTTGGTTTTCCAGCCTGTGCTGCAGAGAGTAAAGAAGAATGTTTTTCAATTGCAGGCCCAGCGTGAGGAGATACTCTTAACAGTAAGGAAGGAGGAATGATGAAGTGGTCTTCATCAAAGAGATGAACTCCTCACCTCGACCTTCTTTTGCTTTCTTCTTTGCTCCTCCTCATATTCCTGCTTCATGCGAGCCCTTTGGTCCGCCAGCCTCTTCTCTTCTTTTTCCTCCTCTGCCCTGATTCGTTCTCTCTCCTCTTCCTGCTTTCGCTTGTTTTCCTCTATCTGTTGGTAATGAAAAGGTTACGTTACATTTATAGTTCAGAATTGTTGAAAAATTCTGAGGCATCCAACAGAGGTTGATATCTAAATCAGCAGGATCCCCGCACTGAGCATCAGAGGAACACTTTTTGTTCACACCCGAGCAGCACACCATGCAGATTGTTTTGTGACTGTACATTTATACTTAATTTACAACTTCTTCAGGAGCTCAGGAACACTAAAATAGTTTTAACCAATAAAAAACTATATAATAAAAAATATTAATAAAATAAAAAGTTTCTGTATTAAAAAGGGAGACACACGCTAAAGCATTTCATGTTTATATTGATGAATCCCCTCCATTAGCATCCATTCTGCTACCTGCTTAGATTGAAGGCTGTGGCCCAGGACCTACCTGTTGTTTCAGGGCTTCTTTGTATCTATCCTGCTTGTGAAGCTGCTGTGGAGTTGGCTGATCATGAAAACCTGCAAGGACAAGTGATATAGAAAGCAATACATCTATAAAGAAGAACAAAGTGGCCCAGTTTGCCACAGTTTTGGCACAATCACCCAGAGAGACTGAACACTACCTGATAGTCGATGGGAAAGGGGGGCCCTGGCTTCAACTCCAGGAGAGTGTCCATTCGTCATCAAAAAGCTTTCTGTCTGCCCACTATTCCTGGACATTGGACTCCTATATGACTCCTCGTTGGTCCTGTGCATTTGATTCAGATCACCTGAAGCAATGGAAACACTTACTGTATAAGTACCTAAAAATGCTGTGTATTGATTATGATCTACCATAAAAGTATCTTAGATTTAGCAGACCTCATTAAAAATAGAGTGAAAGCCTACTTACTAATGAGGTTGCCTTTTTGGTCTTTAATTGGAGCGCCTCCCCCACTTTTCCCCCAGGGGTTGTATGCCATCATCTCTGCCTCTATCTTGGCATCATATCGTTCTTTCTCTTCTTTCTCTTTTCTTTTATGCTCCTTTCTTTCTTTGATCTGGACACAAGAAAGGCAGAATGTTTTCTTTTCCCATGTGGAAATAGTGACTTCATCAAGATCTGGTCTCTGTCAAAATATCTGGTCTGTCCCAACAATGAGTCAATGTCTGTGTTTCCTTCGGTATCAGCATGGAGCAAACAGCCTGTTACAGCAACAAGTAGCATGTCAGTGTGACAGTGTACCGTTACCCAAACCCCTAAAAACATCCAACTACCAGCTAACAGACCTGGAACATGGGGACCAAAAAAAGCTCCTTGGTCACAAACTGGTATTACTAATTTCTGAAGTTAGGCATTATATATGAAAGCACTGGGTCTGCTTATGGCAAACAGATGATATCTTGTAGATCTGATGTTGGACCTGCTGTCTGAGGGCTTCTTGGTAGGTCAGTGTACTCTCTCTCCTCTGTTTAGCCTTTTCTGCAGGAAGCTCTCCGACATCCAGGGGAGATGATCTGTGCTCATCAGTTGCTCTAGAAGGAGACAGACAGAGTGAGAGATGATGAGGAGGCACGGGAGGTACTGGCAGACATGCAGTGAGGGCCCTCTCCTGGAAGAAAGAAAAATCTACTATCACACTGATACACACTGATTTTCAGTGTAAAGAACAGGAGTTGCACATATCTTTAAATGGTTTTAAATTATGTACACTGAATTTACATTATAAATAAATTGCAAAAATCATGGTGGTGGGATGGACACTGACTCAGTGCGGCCTCTGGTTTTGAGAGGAGCTGGTCTTTGATGAGGACTATGGAAATTCACAGACTGCTGCACCCCTTCAGGCAGACCATCTAATAAAGAAAATACAAAAAGACAAGATGATAAATACAAACAGGCTTCATTGGCTATCTGCTGAAACGGTCTGCCAACGTTTTTACCAACATTAAAAAAGCCTGTGAGCTCAGACCAGGGCAGAAAATTGGCAGCAAAATTAGAATGGAAAGAAAATAAATGTAACCAAACAGACCAGCTGGATGAAGTGAGATCCATCTGGATCTGCTGAACTCATATCCAATAAAATGTATATCCCCTTAGTAATAAAATCAGTTCTGCTGTAAAATAAGATTTATGAATTGCTATGCCAAGTCCTCTTGGCCATTGATATGGTGATAAAGTGGCTCCATAATAAATGGTAATAATTCTCTACAGAGAGGTCTGGGAGTTTATTTAAGCCAATGTGTATTATCCCCAACTAAGGTTGAACTGGCAGATACACGAGTGAGTTAATGACCATGAAGACTAGAGACACAGCAAGGCCTATGGACCATTTGACTGTTTACTATTAATATGCAAACTTTACATTATGCTGACAATTTTTCAGCATAATGTATAAAACAAGTATTGTTTTAGATTTTTTTTCCTACCTACAAGCACTTCTAAACAATATGAAAAGCAGAGAGTTTAACCTTTTCTGAGATGCTGTAAATTATCCATAGCAGTGAACATCATGACTGTTTTTATTTTCAGTATGTTATTGTTGTATTCTTTTGTGCAGACTTCATGGCAGTCTGCACATTACTGCACAATGATTATGTAACATTGACAGTCAGTGTTAATACCACAGTGAAATCAGTGTAAACCAGTGTCACAATTTGATTGAATGGTTAGCAGTAATGCACGGTATACACAATTTCTAATAAAAAGCAAAGAGGCAAACACATTTTAAATGAAGATGGTTGTAATACTATACTCTGATTGTAAGGAAGATTGGGATCTAATGGATTCCTGGTTCCATAGTAGTAATAAGCTGCATCATAGGGAGTCTTGTAAGTGTTAGTTACAGTGGGAGGATCAGGAGGAGGAACACCAGCAACCCTGAAAAAAAAACAACACTACAATGAGCTTTCAGCAGGGTTGTTAATTTAATTCATATAACACAATGCAACAGTGCGCTACCTTGGCATGGCCACGTCTCCTAGCATCTTTGAGAAGTCCCTGTGGTAGTCCTCATTAAAATAGTCAAGTGAGGGAGCACCGTGTGCTACTCTCGCTCCGGGGCCAGGCACCGTGTTCGCTGTCAGCTGACTGAGAGATGTACTGTACTCCATGTGGGACTTTCCTGCGGGGCCTCTCTGTTCTGTGTCCTCAGTGGGTTTGTCATCTTTAGACCTTGGATCCTTCCCTACGGCCTCCAGATGTGTTCCGGGCTTGTAGGGGACATCTCGTCTCCTGCTGTCATATTGTCGATTTACAGCCCCAAACTGCTTAATTCGGTCAGGCTGGAAGAGGTGATGCATCATGCAAAAGAGATCCATAAAAGGAAATCAGGCAACCGGTATTCAGTAAACCTCAATATAAGGTGTTGCTCAATATAATCCAAATAATATAATCATCATTTAGGATAGTGAGAAATAGTTTGTGATATGTGAGATGTGTTAATTGGCCTGTTGTCTTTAGAGAATCACACCATGTAATCATGTAGTATCCATGTTAGCCTGTTCTTGCCATCCTACTCTACCTCTTTCTCAGGGTCTGTGGCTCCAGTGGCAGCAACCCTCAGCTCAAGTTTCCTCTCCCTGAAAAAAGTCATCAACCATCCTTTGTGTCTTGTTGACTCACAGTGACACGCCAGCTGAAACAACTGTAATAAAAATGTTGATTCTGTGGATAAATACTCACGTGATCTTGTTTCTCTGCTGTTCAGCAATTTGTTTCAGCAGCTCTTGCTTGTACTGTTCTTTCCTCAGTTGAGAGGCCGCCTGCTCTTCATTTGCTCCTGCATGACAACGGAGAGCCATAAAACATACAAGTGCTGTCAACTATGATGCTGACAAACTGTTTCAAGTGACAAATTCCATCAGTATTCCCACAAGTCAGGATGGTATTTACCAATCATTAGTCCAGTAGCAAACTCTGCTTTATCCTTGCTGGTAGCAGGTCCTGATCTAGCAGCTTTCCTCATGCTGTCTGATACTGGTGGACTATTAAACACAAATACACACGGTCCAGACACTCCACAAGCACATCCAATTACTGACAACATATAAGGGCAACACCACAGCAATCAGTTCCCCTCTGAGCCACACCCAGCTGCCATTTTAAATCATACACTGCCTCACAGTTTGCCTGCAGAGCTTTCTGATCTCAGAGTCAGGCAGCGAAGCCTCATTCTCCAATCAATCCAGTTCCTCCGACAGAACTGGGGTGAGTAATTGTTTGCCTGGAGCCGGGCCAAGGCTCAACCTCCATCACTGCCCCGCATGTTAACAGCTTACTGAGAGTGGCTCCACTTAATGGCATAAACAGAAACAATGAATGGCAACAGGATATAAGAGAAGTGCTGGAGAGCAATAACTGAGTATGGCAGCAATTATCTATGCCTGCCGTGTGTAGGCTCAATCAATCAGATTACTTTATTGATTAGGAAAATGAATGTGACGTTCCAGGGCGATGTTGCTGTGCAGCTGTGAATACTGTCACTATCTTGAATAATTCTGTTTCAGCATTACAAATCTAATTGCTGCAGTCGACCAGAACTGTACACAGAAATAATAATCATCTTGCTCACTCTGACTTCCAGACCCATTCATTGTTGTTCTGATCACGAACACCAGAGGCCTCCACCTCCTTTATGTCCTGAGGATCTCTGCCATGGAGACAGACAAGATGTGAAGAGCAATTATATTACCTTCTGTCATTGGCATATGCTGTATGGAGATGAAAATAACTCAAAATCATGTTACAGAAAACACTACACCTGTTAGCTCTGTGTTCTCTTGTTCTCCTCTCCTCTTTGTACTCAGGCTCTGGAGTGTCTCTGTCTTGCCTCCTCCTGTGTCTGAACTCCAGCTCCTCCTCTTTGTCTGTGTTGGGCTCATCCTCAGAGCTATTGGGCTTCTTCAGTCTATAAAGTTGCCAACGCCTTCGTCTCCGATGGCCTGGACCCCAAGTCCCTCTTCTTTTTCCACTATCCACTGCCTCAGTCAGAGTGGCAGCATCTCTCTTGGATGCAGGGCGCTCCCTGGGAGGAGGGTGTATGTTTGTATGGGTGTTGAGGATGGGCAGAGGAGAAGCTGGAGAAGAAATGCACACAGCATCTGAAGCTTGAACCTGTCCAGGCTGAAAGTGGAAATGTGAAAAGAGTGAGAAGCATTTATTTTAACAGCACATAACAAAATCTATAAACCATTTATTTTGTTTAAGGAGCTCTATATATTTACAAGTGATAGAATATTTTCAATCAGTGTTTGTTTATTGATTATTTTCATTACCTTTGAGGTGACAGGAGGCGTGCCCCTCTTTAACCTTCTGTTTTGTGCTTGTTCCTGCAGGAATTGGTTGTATTCTTTATTTCTCTCCTCTCGTAGTTTGTCCTGCGAGAGAAAAAAATTCAGAGTCATGTCTCTAAAGCAGCCATGTGAATTTCCCCTTGGGGATTGAATAAGTATCTATCTTTCTATTATCTATCCTATCTATCTATCTATTATCTATCTATCTATCTATCTTCAGGGCACCAGCTACATATTTCCAATGCTGTGCTTGAATCTGACTCAACACACATAACAAACAAACTAAATATGAAAAACCAGCAATATACAGTAGCTCACCGTTTGAATATAACACACTGAATTATTAGCTGTCATATATCAAACTCATCTCAGTTTATAGTAAGAGCTTATTAAACAGTTGCTTTTGTCTAAAGTGTGGGTTTCAAACCTTAATTGTATCATAGATACAACATTGCATACTGTATTAAGTTAAGACAGACGTGACTTACCTGTAAACTACACTGAAAGATGCAGAGACTGTAAACTGAACTAGTGTCATTTAAATCATCAAGATTTAATCCACACGACCCAGGTGGGACTTGAACCCACAATCCCCAGCTCCGGAGGCTGATGCCTTATCCATTAGGCCACTGGGCCGCTGATACACCTTCTCACACCCTCTCACAGCTTGTTAGTAAGCTCTTGTGATACTAAGCAGTTGCCATGAGACACAATCAACAATTCACATCAGCTTAAGCCGAGGCTCTGCAGTGTATGAACTCCATTAGTGCTGTTGTGAGCAAGCTATATGATGCCAGGGGGGAAAAAGTCCCATTTCAGTGACCATGGAGGGTTACCCGCTTCCTGTTATGTCCGACTCATGGAAACACATACACACACAAATGTACACACTGAGCTACCCAGACAGACACAAACCTTAATCAATATCTTCTCATCAATAGGCAGGGAGAGACCGTGGGGTTGTGGACGAGGTTCACTAGTTTTCAGATCCTTTTTCTGGAGAAAGAACATGACAACGGAGGACGGGATAGGGAGTCAGCAACATGTGACACAGAGGCAACTTAGTGAAACGTGTCTTCATGATTATTAAAATAAATAAAATAGAAAAAAACAGACAGTGGAGACATAATGTTTGAAGTCAAGTTGAAGCTCCTCCTTAAGTTTATTCTTCTTCCTTTCATAGTCAGTTCCCAGCAGCAAACTTAAGCCCACACCTGGAAATCATAAAATATACATTACATAAAGCGTATGCCATATGAATGTAATCTATCCAGTATCAGAGACTTGCACAATACCTCTGTCTGGATTAGATGATACTCCTTGTGCTGCTGATGCTGGAGGCATGTCCACAGTGTTGTTTATACCACCGGCCCCTGACTGTAGAGCACATTCACACATGATGAGAAAACATCCAGGAGACTGTCCAACTACAGCGTGGTAATCATCACACCATTAATATTTCACATACCTCGACTTGCACGAATGAATGGTGGGTCACACTTCAGTGATGATTTCTCTGTTTCCTCTTCATGCTCGTCGGAAAACGTCCCATCTGCGTCCATTCATCCCCACGTTCACCCGACAAGGAGACTCAGCACAGGCCACAGAAGTTACACATCACATTAGTATTCACATTTGTACAATTTACCTTCACAGCCCAAAACCTAGACAAATGCTTTTGTCTGGATTGTCAGCAAGGCGCAAAGCATCTTTCCGTTGCTACGGGCAACCATGACACAAAAGGTCCTCCAAGGAGAGGCTAACTAACCTAACAAACATGTATTTGAGACCCGTCAAAAACTCACTGTTTAATAACTGTTGCATTCATCGGTAATAGTGACTTTTTGATGTCGCTGAGGCGAGTTTAAAGTCATAAACTCCAGCGGGAATCAGTTTTATTAAGTTATCTAACCGTCCAACACACGCTAGTAACGTTGCCACTTCAGCTTTAAGTTGCCTTTTGAGCTAGCCGTCGTGAAGAACTCATTAATGAACATTAGCTGCAGTGCTGCTGAGTTAAATACCTTATCCCTCACTAAAAAGTACTAACTTACACTGCCAAAGACCTGAAAGGAAAAGCTACATGACTGCAACTGCTTTTATACAAAGCACCGCTAGATGTCAGTGCGACCGTTAGTTGAGGACCTCCCAGGACGGAACCATGCGATCTCTCAGAGGGGTGACCATACTTTAAAATGAGTGATAAATACGGTAAATGTCGCTTCAGGTGGAATATTATTGTTATGTAAGGTTTATTTTTTACTGTTAAAAAAAAAAGTAATGTAGCATATACACATATTAACGTCATATTTGTGTAACACTGAGACAAACGTCCCCTGCCATGGCACTTTGGTATGTTGGTGTCATCCACTGTCATGGCTTCCTGAGCAAGTGGACGTTTGGCCCTGTCACGGTATTAAAATCTTCGGAGAAATACAAACATTACTTTGCTTACTTGAGGAGAAATAGGGGTTTGAACGACTTATCTCTGCCGCTTCGATAATTCATCATGGCGGGGAGCAGCACGGCTCAGAAAACATGGGAGCTAACCAACAGCATGCAGGAAGTTCAGAGCATAGATGAAATTTACAAATATGACAAAAAGCAACAACAAGAAATCCTCGCTGCGAAGCCGTGGACAAAGGAGTAAGTATAGCTCAGTAATGCGGCATTTAGTTACCACTCTAAGTTATTGTTAAGCTAAACATTTGGTGTCGTGTGTTGTCAGAACAACCTTGATAGCTCGGCTACAAACTAGCATCGGTTTGTTTGTCAACAGCAGGAGTCGTGTTGTGTACTTGTGCAAATGTATCTTCTCCTTAATAAACGCAATAAACCTGCTACTTAATGTGTATATATGTTGTTTTTTTGTACCCATAGTCATCACTATTTCAAGTACTGCAAGCTCTCCGCCTTGGCCCTGTTGAAGATGGTGATGCACGCCAGGTCTGGAGGAAACCTGGAGGTGATGGGCCTCATGCTGGGGAAGGTGGATGGTGAAACTATGATCATTATGGACAGCTTTGCTTTGCCCGTGGAGGGCACAGAAACCAGAGTCAACGCCCAGGCTGCAGCCTATGAATACATGGCTGCCTACATTGAAAATGCTAAACAGGTCGGACACTTGATTTTGCATTAAACGGCATCTCATAGGTTTGATATCGTATGATTTAAGGAAGAAAGGAGCGATCTCTGCATACACACTGTTAGGTTACACTGTTTTGATTTGTATTTGTAGATGTAATTGATTGCAACCATGTTTGTTTTTTTTGACACGTGGTCAAATTTCATTCAGCTGTTCTAAAAAACCCACTTTAATGTTTGCATTGTGGACAAGACATACAAGACATGAGATTATATAATAGAGTATATAATATAATTTCCTCAAAAGTTCATCTTCTTTTTCGTCTTCTTCACATTTGTCTACCGTTTAATACCCTGGTTGCTACCACTTTATTATACTTTGTTGTGTTAGGCATTATGGGCAGTGTTGTAAAGCAATAAGCATCAATAACGTATGGTAATGTTGGATTTTTAAAACAAATTAATGTTATTAAAAACCTTTATCTGTTGGGGCATTAAGTTACTGGTTTAGTCAAAACTACACATTCCTGTCTGGTTATTTTATCCATAAACTGCTTCTTTATTTAATTCTAAATGTACTATGTTAATATGAAATTACATATCCCACCACTATCTCACCCATACTGTTAATTTCTGCAAGAGAAAAGTCTTTGCTCAAATAATGCTGTAAAACTCTGTGTGTATCCTAACATGGTTACTACAAGGTCGTTGTTTTTTTTCTTAAAAAAAAAAGATTCACAGCACCAAATACTGGCAGCAATAATAATATTTGATAAATATTTGTCTGCGGTATTCTTGTATAATGTTATATTATTACTTACTTTGGTATTGTTACTAAAATAATAACCTACGTCTTTCTCTAATGCATCAGGTTGGCCGGCTGGAGAATGCTATTGGCTGGTACCACAGTCACCCCGGCTATGGATGCTGGCTCTCGGGCATAGATGTCAGCACTCAGATGCTCAACCAGCAGTTTCAGGAGCCTTTTGTGGCCGTTGTGGTAAGACTGTGGAAATAGTAATCTTTCTTTTAAAGGGAAACGCTTCATTTACTGTGATTTCTAATTGCACCCCATTAAAATGGTATTCAGGTCTTTTCATTCTAAGTATGACAATACGAGTTAATGTGGGTGTAACTGAGAAGGGGGTGGGATTGCTGATGTATGAGTTGTAGGTTTCCATGCAGTACTGATGAATATTTTGCTTTTGCAACCATATATGCTATTTACACTTCATTTGGTTTAGCGTTGCTAAAATGCCGTGGGCGTCGTATAATTAAGTGTATATTTTCAGCACACTGACAGCCATAGTAAAAGGCTTCTGGTGGCCAGATTCGAGTGGTCCCTGGAGGTTTGTATGACCCCTGACTTTGTTTTCCTGTTCTACTGTATCTTGCTTCCTACAGATCGACCCCACTCGGACTATTTCTGCAGGGAAAGTCAACCTTGGCGCCTTCAGGACCTACCCAAAGGTAAAGAAAATACTGTGTTTGCCCATGTTTGCAGTTTTTTAATTTGGGTGTTATTGATGTATATTTGTTATACTAAATAAATTAGATTGTATGATCTTGTAATTACCTGTCTCATTACTTTATTTCTTCTTAGTTTAGTAATTTTTGGTTATGTTACAGAGAAGCTATTTCATTTGTTAAATCTTTTTTTCAGGGTTACAAACCTCCCGATGAAGGACCGTCTGAATACCAGACAATCCCTTTGAACAAGATTGAAGACTTTGGTGTTCACTGTAAACAGTGAGTATTGATATATATCATAGTGCTGTCACCATATTGGAGATAGTTACGTCAATACTTATACATATTATGTCAATTATATTTAAAAAAAGATACCTTAATTGCAGTACTTTGATATAGTGAACTCTTAACTGTATGACTGTATACTGTGCGTGGCTCATGTTGTTACTTTTGTTTTATTTAGGTATTACGCCTTGGAGGTTACTTACTTCAAGTCCTCCCTTGATAGAAAGCTTCTGGAACTCCTTTGGAATAAATATTGGGTCAATACCTTAAGTTCCTCAAGTCTCCTCACGGTATGTAGGCAACTTCAAAAAGCAAAATGTTTGCTAATTGTTTGACATTTTGATTTATGGTTAATTATTACTCTATAACTCACTGAGACATGTGGTCACCCGCTTGTGATGTTGTGATTTATTGCTGCGTAGTAGCCAAGAGTCCCTGTTTATTGATTTTAGTAATAAGCTTAATTTCAACTCTTTAACAAGGGAGATAAGTATTAAAGTCAGACCCAGCTCGAGTGATACAGATACTGTCGTGTTTCTCCATGGATCATCTCCTTTCCCCCCGCAGTTCACTCTGAAGATTGAAAGCCCCTCATGTGAATTCCCATTGTGGATGCAGTCACTCTGCCCCGAGCTTGACTAAGCAGTCTAAATAGGCATCAGGCTTATCCAAACAGTTAGCTCTTTGGCATTCTAGATGAAGATGAATTGACTAGATGTCAAGAACGAGCTGCTCCTTGGGTGACAGGCTTTGTCAGTTTCTACACTGTCACCCTAGTCAGGGGCCCCCATGTCATTGTGTTTTAATTACCTTTTCCACTTAAAACACGGCCTCACCTTAAGCAAACTTTTCACTGGCTTCTTTTCATTCACCACAATACACAAAGTGTTCCTACAGCTTGTTAGACAGATTTGTTGCCATCGTGCAAAATTCTTCTATGCGGAAAATCTTTTATCTAGCTTTTGTTGGCAAATTGTGCATGAATGGGTTTCTGTGTGTGTTTGTTGGATGGTCAGAACTCGGACTACACCACAGGCCAGGTGTTTGACCTGTCAGAGAAGCTGGAGCAGTCGGAGGCCCAGCTGGGCAGAGGCAGCTTCATGCTCGGGTTGGACACACATGACAGGAAGTCTGAGGACAAACTGGCCAAAGCGACACGAGATAGGTAAATCTTTTTCTGTAAAAGCAAACTAATACTGAATTTCATTTATTTTGGGCGCTTTAATCTCAGTGCTGTCTATGGCTGAATGATTGATGGTATTACTTTGAATTCTTTTAATTCTGTTACTGTGTGATCTCTTGATAAAACATTCTTGTCCTTATGTTAATAATTTCCACAAATAATAATAATGGAATTAGGGACTGGTGTGAAGGACAACTAATAATAATAAATATTTTTTGTGTGTGTAAATTTAAATTTAAAAATGTTGTTAAATGTTTGATTTAGTTCTACAAACAACATTCTTACAATCACTGATTTTTTTCTCAGTTATCGATAAATCTTTTTTCTATAAAATGTCAGACAATAATTTAAAATGCCAGTCCTCCAGAAAGATACCTTTTTTAATGATTTGTTTTGTCTGACCAACTTTCCCAAACCCGAAGAGATTCAGTTTACAATGACTTAAAACTGTGAATAACTACACGATTAATCAATCATCAAAATGTACCTCTTAGTTCATGATCTGTAATCTATTGTTTTTTTTTTTTAAACCTTCCTATTTACAAGCAGTGTGATTAAAAGCAAAAAAGGAAAAATGTAAACCTAGCACTATTAATTATTAATTAATTAATAATACTTATTTCAGTAATATCTGATGCACAGATGGATAACATCACCTTCACTGTTTATTGTTATTGAAAGTCATCTGATACCTGAGTAGATGTTACTTCTCCCTATGTCTGTGTGTTTTGTGGTGGTCTTTGAACTAATCTCCATTTTTCACTGTGGTTTGTTTTAGCTGCAAGACAACCATAGAGGCAATTCATGGCCTGATGTCTCAAGTCATTAAGGACAAACTCTTCAATCAAATCAACACATCTGCAAATTGACACCCTGAGCTACGAGCGCCGATTTGGATGTTCCACCGGGATTTCTTTGGCATGTGTATCACTCTCTGGTTTATGGTTTATGTTTAAATGCTAACGGTAGAATTATCTGCGATTTCTCTTCGGAGGGTTTTTCTATTCAATTTCTTTTTTTGTCTTAGAATTGATGCAAAAAATAAAACATAAAAAGTGCAAGTGTTGTATGTGGTTATTTCATTTCATAAACAAAAATGATTTTATTTCAGTCTGTGTTGTGCAACATAAAAAATATTATACCTGGGAAATTGAACAATTTCACTGGTTTATTTACTTGTCTTCACATATTTAGTCCTATCTAGATATAGTACAGTATTCTTTAGGTGTGAGGCACTGCGGCATTGTTTCCCTTCATGCTCTGGCTGTGGCTAAAAATCTTTCTGCGTGTAGGGCCCGTATTCTTCTGCAGCCCGACGTATATAACACACGCTGGTTGCATTAAAGGCACAGCCTAACCTAGCACCAGTCAGTCATTCAAGTGTAGCCTGTCACAGCATTACATAATGGAACAACAAACTCAAGCTTCTGCATAGGCTCAAAGGGAATCGGCTGCCATGTGTGGGATGTCTCTGCGGAGTCACTCCCTGCACAGTTTGGCTCTTGGTGGTACACACTCCGACAGAGTGGCCAGCTCGTCAGGTTGTGGTGTGGCAGTGATGCAGCCCAGAAACAGAAGCCATACACACTGGAGTCTATTCACCCAACGTGTCTGCTCTCCATCGAAGCAGACACTCACCAAGTCTGCCTTTTTTTACAGACAGCCGCTTTGGCCTGGGTTTGTGTCGTGTCTTTTTTTTAATGGTATTGTAATGGCTAAATGTATATTTTTGATGTCATGTATCACAGAGGAGGCAGTCCCAGTGGGACAGTGGAGGTGTCTGCTTTTTCTCATGTGCATGAGCTTTGGCACCACTTCTTATAATGATTTTCTTTTACCATTATTTAAGCCATGTCTTATATTGGAGGGTGTTCAGTACCGCGGTTTAGGAAGAGAAAACTTATTAGATTATATTTAATGTCATTTAGGAATTTGAAATTGTTGAATAGTGTAGTTTTCTGCACACACAGTCTACTGAATAGCTCATGTTTTTGCCAGATATTTAAATGTATTACATGGATGACTGTCACAGTGCTGAGAAAGTATTTAGAGTATGCGTTTCTAAAACAGTTTCACCTAATGTTTGGTCTTTCATGGTGATTTAAGAATCAGTGAAACATATTGAACTCGTTGGACATGTAAATATTGTGATTATCACCAGATGGACATTTGTATGCATGACTAAAAGTGGGATAGAAAAATGTATGTAAATTCTAATCAAGTCAAATAGTGGGCAGCCAAATATCCATTACCCGTGAATTTTACCTTACTCTTTTAACATTTAGCAATTTTTCTGATTCCAAAGTATGTTCCCCATTAGTAAAAAAAAAAAAAAATAATGCTTTCACAGATTGCAGTGGAATGCCTTCTTCTTTGCTGTCCACAGTAAAATAAAGGGTTGGACAACTGGGTGATTTGACATTGACTGATATGAGATCAGCAGATTGATAAGGGTCATGATTAATAGCTGTGGGAAGCTACAGTATTTAGGTCCTATAGATCTAATGACCCCACTGGGATCTGGAGATGTTAAGTTTAGTTTGCCTCTCAGAGGAATTAACCGCACAGGCATGGTGCCCTGTGAGAAGAAGGCTGATTCCAGCTCAGAAAGCTGGAAGTGCAACAATTTCTCTCAGCCATGTGCTCCTGCATGAGTGGAAGCAAGTCACTTGCTTACAGGAACCCCACATCGCTTGACATTAACAATGCAGGGGTCACTGGAAGAAGTGGGTTGTGGTTCTGATTTGGTATGTAACCAATTTTTTTTTTTTAAATGTGGTAAGTCACTCCCTCATGTCAAAATCCTATTATCTATACCAACTTAATTTGCAATTATACAATTAAAATGCAAATAAATAAAATTGGAATTAATTTAATGTAATATTTAATTCAGCAACTAATAGTATTTCCCTAAAACGGCGATAATAGTTATGAATATGTGGTTATAACACAGATAATACTGCTAACCGTAAGAAATGCCACAGAAATATAATCATTTATTTTACTCCCACGTCGCCGTCGGATCATGTGACTAACGCGTCGCTTGCGTAGTTTCCATAGCAACACGACAGACTCAAACGAAAACAGCCTGGCGTCAACTCGCGGTTCGCTTGACACTTTCTTCAATAACTCCTTTTTTTAAAATGTTTAAACTTGCTGAAGACTTCGAGAGGTAGGAGAGCTCAGTTAATATTTGACCCCTATGCAAAATTCACCACAATAAGAGGGAAATGCAATGCCCATATTTTGGTTATACGTTAGAAGACGCTGCAGTGTTGCAATAGTTTTTGTGAATGCAGCCATCGCTTATCTAGGTTGGTGGATATTTCCTTTCCCCCATGCACTGTACCGGGACATCTATGAGTGCTCGTTTGACAGTGATAAAGTACTCTCCCACTGTCCCACGGGAGTATAGCTTCTGTCCATAGTTCAACTCTGATTTATCGATCAGTGTCTCTCTCCTGTAACCTCGGCCTGATGTTTAGAGATCAAGTGTGGAAAATACCTGCCGTCTCCTCTCTTTGCCTTTCTCCAACCCTCCATATTAACACAGACTGCTGTGTAATTAGCAGCTGGAAAGGGTGCTGTTAATAAATGCCTGTTTGCAAAGTAAAAAGTGCACATTTTCATATCTCAGTGTCAGGTGAAGCTAATAAACCAGCCCCATGAGCAGTGAATGAATGAAGTAGTAGAAGCTCTTTCTGTGTCTTGTCTTGTCTTTAGGGAATTCACTGCTCTAATTTCAACACAAATTGAGTGGTCACCCAACCTTTGGCCTCTCAGCAAGTTTCCTGGAGAACACTGATGTTTTTTTTTTCATCGATTATGCCTAATTGTGAATTGACAATCAGGTTTTAGGACATTTAAAGTTCTATACAAGGTTAATCTTTGTCTGCCATTTGTGATTATAAAGGCTATAGTGATTTGGTCTGAAGTGTCTCAAGTGCCGTGATTCTGATTCTGATTGTTGCTTGTTTATTTTATGTCTTGTTGATTGTTGATTGTTTATTTTGTCTTGTTGATTGTTTATTTTATGTCTTGTTGATAGTTGATTGTTTAT